TGTCTCAGCTTTTCTTCTTAGTCTGTGACAGGAGAGAGCTGTCTAGTGTTTCCATGCGGGCAGTGAGTAGCGCTCTGATTCTCAGCCATGAGCAATTCCTTAGGAGCTTTGATGATTTCTGAATACAGGCCACCTGGGGTCTGGCATTGTGGCAGAATGGGTTACATCACTGCCTGTGACACTGGCATTTCATAACCAAGTGCTAGTTCAAGTGCTGGATGCTCTGCTGCCTGGAAAAGCAGCAGAAGATGACCCAAGAGCTTGGGCCCCTGCCGCTCACACAGGAGCCCCTGATACAGTTCCAGGCTTCCGGCTTCAACTTCCACCAGCCCTGGCCATTATCGTCATTTAGGGAGTAATCCAGAAGACAGAAGATTCCCATTCACTCTCTCTCATTCTCTCTCTCTCCTTCCTCCCTTTGTCACTCTGCCTTTCAGCTAAATCTTCCTTAAGACACCTGTACATCTCATGAATTAAGAGAAGCATTGGTAGGGGTCCATGAAGAGATTCAAGTTCCCAATCACCAGTTGTCCCTGACTCAACCACTCATCTTTTACTCTTATAAAGTGAACACATTGAACAGAGGAGATCTGATTCCTAAAACAGAAAACGATGACCCAGCATGGAAGTACTTCCCGGACTGGCTGTGACAAAAGCCCAAGGCCCTCATTACAATCAGATTTACAAAGAAGGAGCTTGGGTCCAGCCCGTTAGCCTAGTGGCTAAAGTCCTCACCTTGCAGGTGCTGGGATCCCATATGGGTACCGGTTCTAATCCCAGTGGCCACACTTCCCATCCAGCTCCCTGCTGTGGTACAGAAAAGCAGTCAAAGATAACCCAAAGCCTTGGGACCCTGCACCCATGTGGGAAATCCGGAAGAGGCTCCTGGCTCCTAACTTCAGATCAGCACAGCTCCAGCCATTGAGGCTGCTTGGGGATGGAAGATCTTCCTCTCTGTCTCTCCTTCTCTGTATATCTGAGTTTCCAAGAAAAATAAAATAAATCTTTAAAAAAAAAGAAAGGCAGGCCCGGCATGATGGCATAGTGGTTAAGGTCCTCGCCTTGCACGCCCAGGATCCCATATGGGTGCCAGTTCTAATTCTGACAGCCCCGCTTCCCGTCCAGCTCCCTGTTTGTGACCTGGAAATGCGATCTAGACAGCCCAAAGCTTTGGGACCCTGCACCCACGTGGGAGACCCGGAAGAGGCTCCTGGTTTTGGATGGGCTCAGCTCCAACCATTGTGGCAGCTTGGGGAGTGAATCATCGGACAGAAGATCTTCCTCTCTGTCTCTCTTCCTCTCTGTATATCTGCCTTTCCAATAAAAATAAAACAAATCTTTAAAAAAGAAAGAAAGAAAGAAGAAGAAGAAGAAGGAGGAGGAAGAAGAGGAAGAAGGAAGAAGGAGGAAGGAAGGAAAGGAAGGAAGGAGAAGGAAGGAAGGAGGAAGAGAAAGAAGAAAAGAAGAGAGAAGAAGAAAGAAGAAGAAGGAGGAAGGAAGAGAAGGAGGAGAAGAGAAGAAAGAAAGAAAAGGCAATTCAGACAGGCTTCCTGGAGGAAGTGATGCCTGACCTGCATCTCACAGCACAAGGAAGAATTCCTTCTGCTAGAGAGTGAGCCCCCCAATAAAGCAGGATGGTAGCTGACTGAGGCCTTGTTGGGCTAAGCACATTGAGAATGTGTTTCAGCATCAACATCTCAAGAACGAGCCCTCTGGCTTCAGATTCTGAGGTGTACATTTCACGCTGCTTTTGGGGTCAGGAAAGAATTCTCTTTGTCACCCAATGACTAAGGTTACATCTAACTTTGAAGACAACACAACTTTGGACATCACAACTCTGTGGCAATGGCAACAATAAATCAGAGAGCTGGGGCAAAGGATCACTCCAGGGCTGTAGTGCAGGTCAACAAGAGGAGAGAAAAAGCCTGACTGCAACTGACATTGGCAGAGGGATTGGGTAGCATGCTTAGACAGCAGCATTTGCACATGGCTGAACAACCCAAACAAGTACGATAGATCCTGAAAAGAGAATTATCTGAGTTGATCTACTCATGCAGCCTCAGCAATCCCAATTCCTAAGTACTCGCCAGCTCTCACAGTCGCTGTATACTTGTGTTGTATGTAGTGTTTTAATTCCGACATCAGACAGCCAATGATGCAAACCAGAACTTAGTACACTGGAGACGCAGCCATGAAGATAAGACACCAGAAACCCTTCCCCCCATGGGACTTAAGTGCCAGTGTGTCTGCTCTATGAGAAAAGTGTGATGAGATTTAACTTCTAACCCAAGACATATCTTGCAGACAGAACCCAGGCCAGGCTTCCTCCCTGCCGGCAGCTGGCCCCTCCCCCCAAGCTCCGGATCACAACAAACATCCCAGAGTAAAGCCAACACAACCTCGCGCTTTTCTTTTTGGTGCACCTTCATTGTGCAGCCAAATGATTCCTAAAGCCTCAAGGCAGACACACACCAAGGTTCCCAAGAATATGCAGAAGCTCCGGGCCACATCTGGGAATCCTGATAAAACAGTTCCTGCTTCTGCAGAGAAGTTATACACAACAATACTTACCACTTCTGTATATGAGCTGGACAAAAAATGTAAAGCAAATGTCCAACCATAACTGAATGGTTAGATGAATTAATTTTATGTGAGATGAAATAGCAAGCAGCTGTTAAGGTGATACAAAAATTCTATGATTATGTGGAAAACGCCATAAAATGTTAGGTAATTGAGTAGAATAAACCACTATATATCTGAAATAACAGATATGTAAATATCTACTCAGAAAAATAAAAGACTTGATGAAAATATATCCAAACAGTAACGCCTAATATACTTAGATGCTAAAATCGGGAATTTTTTCTGTATTTGTATATTCTATTTTACTTCATTGATCATGACTTTTTATACTTTAAAAATAATTTCAGATCTGTCCATCTTTTTTTTTTTTTTTGAGAGCAAGCAGGAGGTAGCAAGAACAAGCACTGAACATTCCTCGTTGGAAGAGTCTGAAATACAGATTCTAACTTGTCGGGTTTGAACTCATTGTGAAACTGTAACCACAGGCATGTTATTCAATCTTGCCTGAGTTTCTCACCTAACAACAGAGATGGAAGTATTGGCCACTGTATCAAGGCTTGGTGTGGGGGCAGTCAGCAGAAACTCACTGAGGGCTCAGCACAGGGTTCAGTTCCCAGTAAGCATTCAAAACAACAGCCCACCAGTCCTGTGCCCTCAACACAAGTAAATAAATAAACAGGAGTTCAAACACAAACAAGGGAGACAAACCCCATATCTGACGCAGGGGAATGAGTAACTTGAACTCGTGCCTTCAGCTGGCCATTTTCCCTCACACAAAGCTGATCCCCAAATGTTTTACAACGTCTTCAAATGCCCCCAGAAGCAGAGCAGCATAAAGGTAATTCGTCTCATAGTTACTCCCCTGCCTTCTCATTTTAATCTACTGGTTGTAATTCATTGTGCAGAGTGCCTTTTTGGTTAAAAAAAAAAAAGTCTAAAATGCATGTTAATAGGATTGTCAGAAAAAAAAACTAGCCATTATCACTCTGAGATGAAATGACCTCATAATACTGTTTAGATTGCTGATGGTAGCTCATATGAAAATAAAAATAACTCTCAGTACAGTCACAGTTTCTAGTCAAAACTCTGGTCAAAGAAAAAAAACAAAAACACATTCTTCTCCTAAATCAGCAACATTAAATCAAAAGCTGCTTTCTCACCTCTGGCATCCAACATCCATTTTTTCTTTGCGAATATATCGAACGGACAAAAATTTTGGTTCATCATGCTTGCCAACACTTATCTTTTTAAAAGAGAGGTTGGTTAAAATTCCATGGATTTTAAACCCTACTCAAAGATCCAGGAGACAGAAATTAGGAGAGAAAAGGTTGAAATTCCTGAGTTCCCATTCCCTGAAATCAGGCATCCCTTGTCCCTGGTGTGTGAGAGGCATTCTTCAATGTAAGTTCTAATCTAAATTGCTCTGCTCTTGAGACCCAAGGGTCAGGCTACTAAACGTAAAGCAGTGTTTCTGTCTGAGGACTTAGTCCAGTTTAGCCACTTTATTCTGCCAGGAGCTCTGTCTCCCCTCTGTCCTGCCCAGACCTGGAGTATCTGTCCACCCTGAACCAGGAGGAGACATGCAAACTCAGACTGGCATCTCGCCAGCCACTGGCTGTATCAGTTTCTTACAGCAACAAAACCTGAATCAGACCCACTTTCTGCCTGTAAGGTGGACGCGGCGCTTAATTTGCCACCAAGTCCCAGTGGGATTACACGAGACAAGGAGACACTAAACGGGGAGGCCCTGCAGGCAAGGAACAAGCTGTTTCCCTCCCCCGCCTCTGAGAGTCCTGGACAGTGATTTTGCAGATCCCAATGCCCTCTGCTTCCCTGCTTCCCTGCTTCCGTGCTTCCCTTTCCCCAGGTGAGACAGCTAAATTCTGAGCTTGGAGTTTCCCATTTAGAAGCACATTGAAACTCCACACTGATTCCCAATTTGAGTTCCAAGCACTGGTTGCTAAGTTAGTGGTGAGTGTGTCCCCGATTTACTTTCCCATCTCTTTAGTCCCTGTCTCCCTTCTCAGGCCCGCCAAGACTAAGTGGATCAGACTTCTGACCCGTTGGCTACAGGGAGTGGCAACATAGAGATTCTCAAGTCAAACTATCTGCCACACTTTGCAATAGCAACGTGGAGCTGGAAGGGGTGGTGTGGCAGCTCCTACCAACAGCTAACCTCCTCCCTGTGGCAGCCAGAGGAGGGACAGGGACAGGGTCCCTGGTGCCGGAGGCGCGGGGAAGGTGGCCTCCGTCCCAGGACCCCTTCCACTCTGCCGCAGCCAGCCCGCCCCTGGACACCCGTGCAGCTCTGCAATGCCCTGCAGCTGTCCGCTCTGCGCTCTCCTTCTCCGTGTGCGCCGCCCGCGTGCTCCACCGGAGCTCCTGGAGGGTCCTGGGCTCCCGCAAGGAAACGCTACCTGTGAAAGTAATGTGCGCAGAAGAGGCCCAGCAGCACAGTGCTAGGAGGTCCGAAGAGAGAGAGGGGCTGTCGGGCCAGGATGCCCGCAGACACCGCGAAGGAGGGCAGCTCCTGAAGAAACCAGGCAGCGCGGGCGGGCAGACTGGCAGCCCCGGGCACCAGGCTCTCCGTGTGCTTCCCGTAGCTCGAAGGCTTTGCTAGGTACAGGATCCAGGCCCCCAGGACGGTCAAAGTGACGCTGCCTGCCAGCACCGCCGGGCTTTGCTGGCATGGAACAGACATCGTGCTGTGTTCCCCGCCAGTGGCCATTGCGCTCAGAGCAGAGCATAGCCCCCACGGCCCCTTTATGGAGCACAGACGCCACCCCGAGTCCGCCCCCTTTGGCCTCGGCTCCCGCCCCTCCAGCGTGCCTCCCACCTTGGCCGACGAGCTCTGGCTCTGCTCCGCCGCATGCCCCAAGCGCAGAGGGCTGGCGCCTCCGAATGCAACAAGCGCAGAAGGGGAGGACCAAGGAGGGGCGGGAAAGCATCCTGTGCCGCTGCCAGTACACCCTGTCTTCTCCCCACCACTCTCCAGATTGCCCTTTGATCACCTGTCCTCTCACCCATCACTCTGCTATTGCAACTTCTGAGGCTACGAAATCAGAAGAGAAAACCACTGCGAAGATTTAACCGGGGTTACTCTGCCGGCTGATACCCAGGTCCTGTGCCGTTAACCCGACAATCCCTGCCCGGTGCTCTGCGCTCCGTCACCCTCATCCCCACTTCGCAGCTCCCACCCAACCCTGCACCTTTCCCTCCTACCCAGGGGCTGCTTCGCCGGGACTGGTCAGGTTGCTTCGCCCTCTCCTCATCGGCGCTGGCTGTGGACCCACCAAGACCTCCCCCCACCCCCACCCCCGCCGCCTCCACAGGTACCAAACTCTGCATCCTCGTTTATGCCCCTTGGGCTACCGGCTCCACCAGAGCTACACGTCCCCTGGGTTCAGGGGCGAACGCACCAGATTGCAGCTGGCAGTCGTACTCCTGTCTATGCGCCCCAGCCTCCGCTACCCTGGGATGCCCCTGCGCTGGCTTAGACCAGGCTGAAGTCTGGAGCCTCTCCCGTGGAACGCCTTCTCCCAGTTCCCGAGCCCGGAGTCAGGAGATGGTGGCCTTGGTGCCTGGAACACTCAGACACGGTTCTCCGTCCCCCCTTCTCTCTCCCTGGTCTCCTACCTCTTTCCTTCTCTGAGTCCGCTCTCAGACTTGCCTGCCTGCCTCCTCCTGCATGGTGCGCTCTTTCCTCTTTTGCTCCCTTGCTTCTTTCTTGGGCTGGGCTTTCTCCTTCCAGGTTGAACTCCTCTTCCCACCTGCTGTTCATCTCACTTTCCCATCTTTTTGCCCCTCATCCCTTGATTACTTTATCCCCATCTTCTCCTCTGGCCCTTCCCCCATTTCCAGCTCTCTTTCCTTTGGAGTTTTCTTCATCCTTCTCCACTCTACTGCAAACCACCATCACCACGCCCCCCAGAAGGAACTCAGGATAACCCAAAGAACGTGGGTTAGAGCAGCTGTTCAGTGTTAGACCAGTTACTCCAATAAAGGGCCCGCTCCTTCATATGCTCCATCTGACTGTGTTTTCTGACTCCTGGGACATGTGATTGCAGGTGCTAGAAAGCATCCTCTGCTTTTTGACCAGTAGGTTTTTACTATCGCCCTAATTAGTTTAAAAGCTTAATGATGGGCCCGGCACAAAAGCGTAGCAGTTAAGGTCCTCGCTTTGAACGAGCCGGGATCCCATTATGGGCGCCGGTTCTAATCCCGGCAAGCCCCGCTTCCCATCCAGCTCCCTGCCTGTGGCCCGGGAAAGCAATCGAGGACGGCCCAAGACTTTGGGACCCTGAACCCGCAGGAGATTCCCGGAGGGGGCTAATGGCTTCGGATTGGTGTAGCACCAGCCGTTGCGATCACATAGGGAGTGAATCATCGGACAGAAGATCTTCCTCTCTGTCTCTCCTCTCTGTATATCCACCTTTCCAATAAAAAATAAATCTTTTTTCTAAAAAAATCCTAATGATGATCATGCATTAGTTTCTAACCAATCACATGGGATTCACTTGGACTCACTGAAGCACTTTGGAATAATCAGGTGTCAGCTACCCCAGTGGCTTCCACCAGCTGTGTTTGCATTCGTTTTCTGGCTTCTTCAGTTACTGCCTGTCTTGAGGACACCAACCCTACACCTCCAGCAGAGACTGGAGCTTCACATCTGCATTTTCACTGGACTGGAAAAGTTGACTTGAATGCCTTTAGAGACCTCAAACTCAATCCTACCTCACAATGAACCCACTTATGCTCCACTCACCCCACCCACACTCAAATCCTCACTCCATGTTGCTGGCCGTCTCTGTCAACAGACATGACTTCCCCAGAGAGCCAACTGCAGACTTCTGCAACTCCACACTTCATGAGGCCCTGCAGTTTAGAATGAGTAATGATTAACAATTCAAAATCCAGATCAATGAAATGACCCCTTTTTTTTAAATGAAATTTGTCCTTTACCAATCCTCCTTCTACCACCCCACTTTTCTTCTAACTTTACCCAATTTTGAGTTTCTTTATTGCTTTTCCAGCACTGTAACAGCTTTTGCTGAAAAACAAGCAACCCATAAAGTCAATACTTAATAATTTAAAAAATCATTCTCAGCTGTGCATCTGTGGGTTGGCTGGTGGTCACTTGATGCAGCTGGGCTTTGGCTAGTTCAACTGTGTTCATCCCTTCTTCTCGGGGGACAATTTAGAGGCCAGCTTCGGGCTGCATTTGGATCTAGAGCCTTTGCTGAGGCTGGTTCTCTTGAGATGAGTAAATTAAAACCCAACTCCACCACCTCCTCCCATATGCCTCTCTAATGTCAACAATAGAAGCAAAACAGGAGAAGCACATGAATTCTCTTGAGCCAAGAGATAGCATGCCTCCAATTCCCATATAAGCTGACATTCCCTGCCCAGTTGAAATGCTACCCTGATCTCTGACACCCTGAGTTTCACCTGATTTTGAACTTCCAGCAGAATGATGCACTTCTGACCCTGTGCATATGCTTAAAGTATCAGCAATTTGTGTTTTGAATAGGTATGGTAAAGCATGCAGACATATAAATGACCGCTGTGAAAAAAAAAAGTGTGTATTCGCAGGTTTTTAGAAGAGATCTTGCACACTATAGAGCAGCACATGAGGAAACGCCAAGAGTCAGTCAGAGGACAGCAGACATTAGAACATTTGGGCTAAGATCTCTAGTTTGACTTCTACAGGACAGGGCAAGGGAGGCACACGGAGTTAGCCTGAATACATCCAGTGCTCCAGGGCATAGGGGTGGTCTCGAGCTTACATTGCCTGGCTCTCGACTGATCATCCCAGAGAATAATGGCCCTCAAATCAGTTCTTGGAGGTGATTGGGATCTCAGCCATGGACTAGTAGGCTTACATGTGAAAGGGCCACTGGAGTCTTTTACAGTCCCAGGAATTCGCCCTAGAAGAGGCAGTCCCTGAACTGTTGTAGGCCAACAGGCCAGACAGCAAAAACTGAGAAAATTAAAAGTCAGATTAATCTATTCTGTGCATGTGTGTGTAATTCATGCATGTTATATAGTTATGATTTCTTTGTCTCAATGTTTGATAGCATTCCATTATGTGAGTATCCTAGTATTTGTTTAACCATTCTATTGTCGCCCCATATACACTACTGTAGACTAGGCAGCTTGAACAAAATTAATTTACTTTCTGTGGTTCTTCTGGAAGCTGGAAGTTCAAGACAAGTCTCTGACCAATTCACCGTTAGTTCAGGCTCTCTTCCTGACAAACAGCTGTTTTCTTTTTGTGTTCTGTTGTATGACTTTGGTGCATGTGTAAGGCAGTCAGGGAGGAGACAGTGAAGGAAAGGTGGGGGAGATGTGAGAATGAGCTCCCCAGTGTCTCTTCTTCTAAAGACAGAAGTCCTATTAGATCACAAACTCATCATTACCATCTCAACTAGCCTCAAGGACCCCCTTAGAGGCCCCATCTTCAAATACAGCCACATGAGTGGGTTGGGACTTTGCCATGAACATGAAACATCCAGTAAATTACAACAGGCAATGAAGTAGTAAAAAAAAAAACAATTATATGCATTTATGTAAATTGTAGTCCACCAAAAAACAGAATTCCCAGAAAATACACAGACCAAAAGACAACTGAAAATATACCTATGATACTGAAAGGGAAAAACATTCCAACAACTTAATATCAATGAGAATATCCTTCAATAAGGAAATATCACACACACATACATACACACACACACTGCAGAAAACAATGACCAAACTAAGCAAGAGATAAACCTACATGAAGATGCTGAAAAATGAACAATAGCAGACAGATACTGATGGAGATTCACAGGCTTTTTGAAGAGGAGACATGGACAGCCATTGGTACATGTTCCCCCTTTTGAGACTTTGACCCCCCACTGAAGACAGCATAAATGACGCACACAGCAGTGGCAGTGATGAATAATCTTAGACATGGGGGAATCAGAGAGAGGCCTCACCAAGTGCTGCCTACCCAGACCCCAGGCTGATGCGTGAACGGTACAGATGCAAAACAATATAAGCTCAATATAAGACAAATGTTCTGAGTAGAGAACTAAGAAACAGAATTTGAAGTTCAAGTTCAGTCGACAGGCATAACCTGCTGAAACAAAGGAAATAATATCAATGGGAGAAAAATAGTACAATCCGTGATCTGCACACTTTAACACGAATCATTTCTAAGATACAGCCCAAAATCACCTGACAGAATATTAGAAAGGAAAATAAAATTATATCCATTCTCAATAGATAAGAAAATCAATTTTATCCCATCCAGAGATAAACCAAATTTTACAATTAGTAGACAAGCAGCTATCATGGTATTAATAGTTTGCCAGGGCTCCTATAACAAAGTAGCACAGACTATGGGCCAGTGTGTCAGGCTAATCCTCCATCTGCCAACACCAATATCCCATACGAGCACTCAGCTGCTCCGCTTCCAATCCAGCTCCCTGATTATGGTCTGGGAAAGCAGAAGAGAATGGCTCATGTCTTTGGGCCCCTGCACCCATGCAGGTGATCTAGAACAAGCTCCTGGCTCCTGGTTTCAGATTGGTTCAGCTCCAGCCATTGCAGCCATTAGAGGTGGGAACCAGTGGATGCAAGGGAGGTCTCTCTGTCTCTCGGTCTCTCTCTATCACTATCTCTCCTACAGATCCCAAGACTAAGCTGTCAGCAGGGCTGGTGAAAGATAACTTGATCCATGCCTCTG